TCCAAATATTCTTGAAAGGGTGTGGAAAAATACTTGCGGCCATTATCAAAACAAAGAATTTTAATATGTACACCAAATTGATTGCGAATTTCAGCATAAAATTTTTAGAAAATAGAAAACATTCACTCTTTTCTTTCATAAGGTAAAGCCATGTCATCCTTGAATAATAATCAACAAAAATTACAAAGTACTTATAACCATTATAAGACACTACTCTGTTTGGACCCCAGATGTCCGAATGGACTAAAGAAAAATGACTCGATGTACAACTATCAACTCTAGGACTACAGGAAACACGATGATGTTTCCCAAACTAACACGACTCACAATTCAAATTAGAAAGACGACTCAACGACGGAACAAGTAACTGGAGAGCTCTAAGAGACGGATGACCAACTCTGTAGTGCCATTGATGAGGGGAAAGAGATGACTGAAGGGTTGTTGCCGAACCACCTCCACCAAGATAATACAGTCCACCAGTTTCATGCCCTCCACCAATCTTCATTCCCGTCTTGAGATCCTGAAACACATAAGAGGAAGGGTAAAAAGTTATTGAACAATTAAGAGACTTAGTCAATTTACTAATAGACATCAGGTTAAAGGGAAACTTGGGAACATATAAAATTGAGGATAGGGATAATGAGTCTGCGTCAACATTACCAACACCACATATGGCTGATGTAGAGCCATTGGCAAGAGTAACAGATTGGGATGTGAAGGACGGAGAAATGGATGAAGACACCTGGAGTCCCAGTCATATGATGGGAAGCTCCATAGTCTATAATTCAACGGGAAGGTGTGGATGCCAAACAAACCGTACCTGAGTGTGCAAGGGTAGTCGTGTTCTATTGAGATGTACCCTGAATGAACCGCTCATACTCATCCCGTGAAACACTCACCATCTCCTTTCTAGAAGCATTTGTAGATGTTGTGGGGATCTTATCAGTAACTTGAGATTATTGTCTTGAACTACCACCATTTATAGCTACATGATTTGCCCAGGTTGAAGGTGGGCCATGTAGATCATAGCAAAAGCTGATAGTATGTCCCTCCATACCACAATGAGTACACCTTCTCTAAGTATTACCACGGGCTCCCCCTGAGTCTCGACCTCCAACACGACCACCACCACTACCACAGCTAGGTTGACCTCTACCACTACGACCTCCCCCTCTCATAACCGCAAATGTATACCTATCCGATAAAGTGAAAGTCTCTGTGGGTCCAACTAAAATCCTCCGAAGACGAACAAACACTTCCTCAAGAGAGGGAAGAGCAGATCCACCTAGTATTTGTGCCCTTACTAGCTCATATTCAGACTTCAGCCCTACTAAAAATATGATCACATCCAACTGCTCTCTTTGTTGCTGAATTTTGACATTAGGTGTAAGAGGGTGATAAACATTCAACTCATTTCGTAGATTTCTCATACTTGCATAATAGTCCTCAAGACTCTGATTCCCTTGTTGCAAATTGAAGTATTCTTGGTACAGTTGATAAACCCTAGTAGTATTATCTTGTCCAGAATATAGTTTCCTTGCATGATCCCAGACCTCCTTGGTTGTATCAAAAAACATGTTCACACTGATTTTGGACTCCATGTTGTTCCATAGCCATGTCATAATTTCAGCATCCTCTTGCTCCCATTCTTCATATCCCGAAGAATCAATCGGGGGTTTATCTACTCTCACATGCTTCACTTTCTTTTTGGCTTTCAGGAAAACTTCAACAGACTTAGCCCAAGGGACATAATTCTCACCATTCGGTTTTATAGAGGTCATCTGCACATTCAGATAATCAAAAGGCACCATGACACTTGATTTGCATTCACTGTTGTCCCCCATGACTGCACAAGAAAAAGGGAGAAACTGTACCACTAGGTTGTCACTCTACTGCCCTAATGAATCACCACACTACACACGAATAACTGAACACTACTAGGGTTCCTAGTATCAAAGGTTTCAGCAACAACATTCACAACTTTTCACCACTATAAGCAACAATATCACTGCTGCCGTCTACTGTCAGTACTAGAAACCCTCACAATACATCTCACGAATAGGATAATCAGTTCTGCAACACATAAAAAAAAACTTGCTACATAACACAACTTGATTCGAAGATCATGTACCTGTCGAGTAAAGGGTACCAAGTCTGCACTGTCACCATCACAAAACCAGCCCTCTTCGAAATGCCGAGTAGAGGGTTTTCTACCAACCACACAAAACCACAACTGCACTCACTGGAGGCATGGAAACCCCCAGAATGAGAAAACGACTAGTCCTTTTCTTTCTTTCTAGGAAACTCATAGTGATCAATGGGAATTCTGCAAAACCTTGGAAGGGAATGCGCAGAACAGAGAACAGAAGAGATGACTGATCTGAACTGATTACCGTGGCTCTGATACCATGATAAAACTCAGATCAGATGTTCGTATAAGTCCAGATCAGAAGAAAGAGAAGAAGAAGAGGGAGAAGAAGGAGAAGAAGGAGAAAAAGAAAAGTCTCTGCCGAACTAGAGATAAAAGTCTAATCTACTCTAGTCGGCCCTTCTTTTATTTATACTCTTCTAAAGTATACAATAATTACTATTGTGCCCTCACTTAAGTGAGAGCCACATCAGCTGGACAATTAATATATAACTTAACATAAAAAGTCGATACTACCCTTCTACAGCCAACTCTAACAGTGGTTTTTGTTTTGTTTGCCTGTATTTCTTCTATGCTTGGTAATTTGGGTGATGCGCTTCACCTGCCTCTTTGTATCGTTTCTCTCTTTAATGAATTTTCTTCTTTATTTATCTTCAAAAAAAAATTATAGCAGTATTTGGAGCAGAAATATAATAATCAGTATATAAGCAACTTCAAATCTTCAACTCCAAGGGCAAACCAATATAAATAGCAGTCTATTAGTTCAGTCTCAGGCTTCAAAACACCAGAAACAGATATTACAGATTAGGACAAACCTTAATCTGTGATTTAAGATCAAGAAACACCAGCTGAAACAAAGAAAAATTCTAACTCAGTCCAAAAATATAGGCTGTTCAACAATACTAAATGATCCCTTTGAATCACGGAAAAAAAAGATCTGAAAGTGATCTCTATGCAAATCTCTATATACTGACCTGCTCTGATACCATGTCAGAAGCAATCAGGAAAGATTCAAACGGTTGGAGAAAACAGAATTGTTGGGTGTCTCTAAAGTCAAACCATGCCCATAAAAAAGATATTAATATTATGTAAATAAAATAATGAGAAAGGACACTTATGTCCCTCTTACAAAGACAAATAACAAGCTGTACAAATAACGATACGATGTATAAAAAGTATAGTACAACAGTACTCCCAGCCCAAAAATAATGAAATGCATCTCAAACAGGATCAGAACTTAGAGTCTCTACATGCAGTGAATACCATTGGCTGAATGGTGGTACAATACCACCTACCAGTCATCTTCCAATATAATCCCATATGAAGCTTTTTTTTATGAAGGAATAATCCCATATGAAGCATTTTATGGAGTAATTCCTCTATGGTTACTAGCAAATGTGCCGAGAACCACAAAAGTTCAGGCCATGGAAAAATGAAATGAGGGACAAAAAACAAATATTACAAGAGCTCAAGGAAAATTTAAGGGCCACTCAAGAAGGAAAGAAGAGAATAGTTTACCAGGGTTGTACTGAACAAGAATTTCAAGTAGGGGACCTAGTTTACTTAAGGTTACAACCTTATAGACAAAATTCTATAGCAGTTCGGAAATCCATAAAACTCTCAGCACAACATTATAGTGCCTACAAGATCCTCCAGTAAGTTGGGAAGGTTGCCTATAGACTGGATCTTCACCAAAATTGCAAGCTCCACTCAGTTTTTCATACTTCTTTTTTGGAAAAGCTAAGGCTCAGTTTGGAAGGAGTACAAATGCAAATATGTAGAGTGCAAAACCTTGCATTTTGTATTATCTTGTATGTATTTGTACTGTACATATTTGTATTTGTACTCTTTCCAAGCTGAGACTAAAGTATTTTATTAAATATCAAGAATGTACACCCCCAACTCTGCACAGAAACTGTGCCACATGGCCCACATCTACCACCATCTATACCAGAAAAAAAGTACTCTTTAGTAATTATAAGAGTGTATGAGAATTCAAAAAAGAACTGTACGGTATATTTGCAAAACTTCAGTGCATTGCAATCCAGGAATGAATTCTCTCTCACAGGTCCTTAACAACTGCCTCCTTTGTCTTCCCACTAACCCCAACGAATCTAAAATTTCTTTCTTTCCACACAGACTCAAAAAAAATTGCCATAGGTAGCATTTCTCAAACCACTTTTCCTTTCCTACTCAGACCAGTTACATGTGTCAAGCAGCTTGGTCCACAACTTTCTAACAAAAGTGCAATGAAAAAACAAGTGATCCACCAGTTCCACAGCCAAATTACAAAATTGCAATTGACATTACCAACCACCCATCCCCTCTTTACTAAGTTGTCCTTTGTTAAGCACCTATTTAGGGAGGTAGTCCATACAAGAAAAGCAACCTTTGTAGGTGCAGCTGTACACCATATCCTTGCCCAAGGTAAAATTACTCTCCCTTTCCACCAGCTTGTTGTAAAAGGATCTAACTGAGAACAACTTAAACATGTTTTCTTTTTTTTTGGTTAACAGCTTAAACATGTAGAACAAACAAAAATTACACAAGTTTAGCACATCAATCACGTTTAGCCTTGGTGAAGCAAGAAACAAGTGAGAATCCAGAAAACTAAACAAAAAAACATCAATCACGTTTTTCATGCAAGTGTAATCCAAAATCCAAACAAGTATGGTGCAATGGTTCAAATAGGGATGATGTTCACATGTATACACGAGTCTGGTACTAAAATAAGAGCAAAATATAGCCTAAAATCAAACTTTTCATAGACATAACAAGAACAACTTACAAACAGAGATCAAAATTCATGCTTTTAAACAAGAAAGGGCAGGAAATGGGGATAGAACCTTACGTAAAAAGGAAGGGAAAACGAAGCTAGGGAGCGAGTTTTTCCCTCCTATGTGTGTCTCCACGGATCAAATAGATTGCAGGCGTCTTGGACGTGATGGAGACCTGCTGTAAGCCTTCTTCTTGCCGAATGACCAGAGAGCAGATGATGGGGCTTAGGTCTTCTCCAAAACGTGAAAGACAGAGAATAGAGAGAGAGATGAATAATAGAGAAAAAGCTCGAAAACCGGAACCGGAGAGAAATAGAGGGAAAGAGGAGAAGAATGGGGTTTCAAGGTGTGAAGCAAGCTGCAATGGCGTCTTCTCCCTTGGTTCGGATCGGACGAAGAAGTGGAGAGGAGACTGTTTACGCACAACGGCTCTTCTTTCTCACTTTGCAGTGTTCACCGGGTAAGGCACGTGACATTCACGTGTCCCCCATATAATTTCAAGGCCTGCAACTTCCTAGGTAGTAAACCGCAGAGATTGCGATTGCGATGGGGATCGCGAATTATGAATACACGAGAATTAATCTTACAATGATAGTTGCCATAACACTAAAGGAACCACCGGAACAACTACAATGAGCGTTATATTGGTCAATGAACTCGAAAGTTAAATACAATGGCAGACCTTTGTGATGATTAAAAATCACTCCCGAAATGACAAACATGACCACTTATACCTACAATGCCCTATGTGCATCACTTGCGAAGCAGCAACTCATAGCCAACAATGTCACCAATACATGTCACCATCCGGAGAGCCTTATTCCTAACATATCAAAGGACCATAGCTAAGATGTAGCACATGAGAATATTAAGGGAAAGGGAAACTATCCTAGAGGATCACTACAAGACACGTCGCAAAACCCTAGTAAAGCTTATCCCTTCAAGACCAAAGAATCGTGATCTACTTTTCTAACAAGAAAAGTCTTTATTTGTACGCTTCTTGTTATAGCTTTGGTGGCCTTTCTATAAAAAGGAGAGACTCGAAGGCCCACGCATGAGACCAGTCTCAAGAATCCTTACCTCTTAGCCTTGTAAGCTCTCTACCGCCTACTTCCCTGCTACTCCCTTCCTCACAAAGCTCTCTCTACCCGTGGTCATCCTTTGTCTTTCAAGGAGACCATTCCTTGTTGCTTTACCACCTTACCTACATTAGAATATCCGGTTTTCTCATTGATCACAAAGATGGTCCCTAGAAGAATCAACCTTTCCCAAGTCCACGAAGAAGAGCAAATCAACAACGAGGGATTTATTCAAAATGTGGACACTGAAATATCAATTCCCCCAGAGTCAAGCAATCGCGCAAACATAGATATCTTGTCCCACAAAGTCTACGACTTTTAGAAATGCTTTGGTCGCATGGAATAGATTCAAGTCGAGATGAGAAACTCACTGTACCTGCTCCTAGAGCGCACAACCGCACCAAAGAACCCTCCTTTCACCCCAGCCCGTCTATCTACTCAACCTTCTATCCATCCTAGGACCACCACACCGGAATCTCATAACCCTTAGCATCAAGACACTTACAATTCAGCCCTGTTAGCAGGAATTGCCGCTAGAACACCACACCCCTCTAGTCCTTTTCACTCCTACCCCATTGATCGAGTATCGCTGCCTCTGAAGCACCTATCAGCCACACAGAACTCCGAGAATATGTTCAATCTCATAGAGGCCACCAAAACAAGACTCAGACCTTCACCCTCCTCGAAAAGCCTTACTCAAATTGAAGTCTTCATATGCCCTACCTAGTTTGGTACACATAACCCCAATCATGGCCCTTGTATGACAGACAGAGGGATAGTCTTCAAGAACACATCAACAAGTTTGACAATGGATTGGGATCTTTTGCCTTAAACGGGGATCTCAATGTACTAGAATTTTCAAAATCACTCACCAAACCAACCTATTCATGGTTCATCAACCTGACCCCCAAAAAGCCTAGATTCATGAGGAGAACTCACCACTAAATTTCTATCCAAGTGGTTTACTCTAGAATGGCAACTCACCATGGTAAATCTATGCAATGTTGAGTAGTGACCTAGAGAAGACCGTATAGCCTACATGATGAGATTCCAGAATATCACACGCACTATGTTTGACAAGTGTACCACGGAGAAGCCTACATAGTCAATCACAAGCAGCACACCAACCGAGGACTTGGCCAACCGAAACCCATATTCCAAACCTAGTAGCCAAGGAAGACATAATGATGGTCTATTGCCTTTTGGCTGCAACAAAAACGAAGTCTTGATGATAATGAATAAGCTCGTAGAGGCCCAAGTTATCAGCCTACCTCCCCCACCTCCTCTCGTCATTCTAGAGAAGGACAAGCATGGTCTCCGATGGTGCAATTTTCATCAACCTACCAACCACAATTTGATGGACTGCTTTACCTTGTGAAGGATATTTGCTCAAAAAGTCAAGTTACATGACTTCATCAAGCACAAACCGGCCCAAGTTGATACCAAACCCCTACCTAAACCACCAATAGGGATAGTATGAATGTGGTCTAATCGGTTAACTATGACAATGCAACACCAGATACACTTTTGGAGAGGTTTGAGCATAGCGAGGAGTTATGCCAATACTTCTCCAAGTAGGGAGCCAACGAATCAACAAGAAGAGCAGCCATCAATGTTTTGGTCGAGACATTCAGGCACCCTCTTGAACCACATCGCCCAAATTGCTTCAATATAGAGTTTTGTGAAGATGACATGCTAGCCATGGACCCTCATCACAATAGACCCTTATACGTGATGGTGAAAATCTGCGGGCACAAGATGAGGAGAGCATTGATAGATCAAGGGAGTTATATTAATCTGATATCTGCACACACACTCCATCTGATGAAGATCACAAAGGATGATTTTGTGGCTTAGTCGATAGAGATAACAAACTTCAATGGTAATATATCAGCAGCATGTGGCTCCATCATGCTTCCTGTGGTCACAGGACCATTCTTCACAGAATAGGAATTTCAAGTGATATTTGGCCACACAACATACCATGTCCTCCTCGGTTGACTATTGATCCACTCCCTAGACTTGGGATCATCCACCTACCACCAATGCATCAAAGCAAGACATAAAGGAAGAGTGGTTTGCCACTAGAGTGTCGTTTAAGAGGTCAAAAGCATATCTACATTATGTGATATACTACATAGTGTTTGCAAAAGATAGTGAAGCATGAATTACATGAATTGAAGGGGTTGAATTACCCAAAGAGGAGGAAGTCACCATGACTACACAAAGGAAGAGTGGTTTGAATACCTACCACCAGAGTGTCGTTCAAGAGGTCAGAAGCATATCTATAGGATGTGATATACTACACAGTATTGGCAGAAGACGGTGAAGCACAAATTACACGAATTGAAGGGGTTGAAGTACCCAAAGAGGAGGAAGTCACCATGACTACCACAGATAAGAAGCAGCAGCAATGATGCGTCAGAGTCATGGACACAGATGGTAACTTACAATATACCATCGTGGAAGAAGACGAGGATGTTGGTGCTCCTAATGCCAAAAAAAATATAACTAAGGTATAAAAATTACATTTCATCTATATTGTATGAAACAAACTAATAATTTAAATTCCTATCTCTTATTGTTTCATCAAATACATAACTCTTAATAAAAACATGTTGCCCTTGCTTTCATACTATTTTTTATAATAACAAATATTGCCTTATGATAATGACATCAAACCAACATACTGTGGTACAGGCATTGCAATAGATCCAACCTACCAAAGTCGAGGTACATAACTCACAAAACAATAAATCAAACTAAACATATACACAACAAACTAACAATACAAACATCCACATGAGAAAAAAAAGTGACATTGTCGAATACTATGACGAATAAAGGTGTAAAACGGGTTGTGTCGGCCCCCAGGGATAACTTGGGGGGTCGGCCCGACACGGCCCAGGCCCGTGTGGGTCGGTGCCATGAGCCAGGCTAGCCCGTGGGCTGAGCCTTGGGCCAGGTTGGGCCGTGCATTGGGCCAAAGCTATTTATTTAAAAAAAAATTGACAAAAAACTTAAAATTTTAATTTTATATGAATTTTGATGTATAAAATTGCTTATATATACAATAATTAAATAAATTAGTATAGTAAAATTAAAAAAAAATATTTATTTTATTAATATATTATATACTATATATTATTATATAATTATAATAATATAATAATATATAATATATATATGGGTCGTACCATGGGCCGGGCTACGGGTTGGGCCGTGCCGGTATGGCCAGCTCGGTCTTGTCGTGTCGGCCTGACCCATGGACCTAAAACCCTAGGCCCAGCACAGCCCGCACGATCGTGTTGGGCCGCAGGCGGCCCGACACAATTTACACATCTAATGACAAAGTTCATCTCCCTCCCTAGCATTTATAGAATTCCAACGGTGTAGTTGAGGAATCATTGGAGGAAATCGATAAGATGCCTCTACTTGCACTCCTAAAACAATTCCAAGATGTCTTCGCCTGGTCGTACGACCAGATGTTGGGACTACACCCAATCTTAGTGATGCACTCTTTATACATAGATCCCAAGTACAAACCTGTCAAGCAACCCCAACAAGTTTTCAAAGTAGAAGTAGCTCTAAAAATCAAAAAAGAAAAAGCGAGGCTCCTCAAAGTTGGGTTTATAAAGCCTACATACACTCTAAATGGTTGGAAAACGTTGTACTAGTCAAAAAGAAGAATGGCCAATTAAGGTGTTGTATGGATGCCCACGACCTCAATAAACCTTGTCTAAAGGATAAGTTTCCTCTACCTAACATGGAGATCCTCATAGATGCACAACTGGCTCCTTTGTCAATGCTTATAGTTGGTATAATAAGATTTACATGGATCCTATAGATGCACCACACACAACCTTCTGAACCCTAATAGGCAACTTCTGTTACAAGATGATGCTTTTTGGACGTAAGAATGATGAAGCCACTTACCAAAGAGCCATGACATGTGTTTTCTACAACATGATACACAAAGAAATAGAATGTTATGTGGATGACATGGTTGTCAAGGCAAGAAAAAATGAGAGCCACACAAAAATCCTCAAGAAAGTATTCACAAGATGTAGAGAATTCAATTTAAGGCCGAACCCACTAAAGTGTGCATTTGGAGTCCAATTAGGCAAATTCCTATGATATAGAGCTAATCAATCCGAAATTCACTTTGGTAAATTCAAAATCAAAGTTTCCCTAGAACTACCATCACTAGAGGTGTAAATCAGGTTGGGCCACCCCGACCTGGCACGGCCTGACCCAACTTTGGACCGACCCAGAACGACTCAACACGATGGTTTGCGAGCCATACTAGGCCTGGCACGATCGTGCAGGCTGTGTTGGGCCTGGGGTTTTAGGTCCATGGGTCAGGCTGTCGCGGCCCGCATGTCGGTGTGACCCATATATATTTTATATATTTTTTATGTATATTTATATAATATTATATAAATTATAATTATATAATAATATATAGTATATAATATATTAATAAAATAAATATTTTTTTATTTTATTATACTAATTTATTTAATTATTGCATATATAAGCAATTTTGTACATCAAAATTCATATAAAATTAAAATTTTAATTTTTTTGTCAATTTTTTTAAATAAATAGCTTTGGCCCAATACATGACCTAACATGGCCCAAGGATCGGCCCATGGGCTAGCTCGGCCCGTGGCATGACACGAGTTCGCATGGGCCTGGGTCATGGATTGTGCCAAGCCGA